CTCCTGCCTCCCCATCCTGCAAGCCACCGAGATGTCTAGCAAGCCTCCCAGGGCTGCCCTGATGGGTCCCCCAGGTGCCTCCTTCTTTGGCCACAAAGTCAGTGGCTCAGAAAGCCTTCTCCCATCCCTAAAGCTCCCCTGGCTCCTTGCCCCATGGACCACAGCCCGACTGTTGTCCCAGCAGTTCTCCCAGCTGTGTCCCGGTGTGGCACCAGTGCCTGCAGTTCAACCTCCTACTCACCACCCAGATGTTTCTCCACCACATCAACTGTGCCAGGGCTACCAGTGGTGGTGGGGGTGAGGATAACATGCACTGCAGGGCCTGAGACCTTCTCAGGCGCCCAACAGTGACTGTCACTTACATACAGGCTGATGCCCTCAGCTGGCATCAGAGCTGTACATCCTCATGGGGAAAAAGTCAAGTCCCATGTTGTGTTTGTGTCACTGTACAGAAGGCAAGCAGAGAGCTGGGGCTGTAGCGGCTCAGGAAGTAGGTTGCAAAGCATTCTGCTCCCTTCCCCAAATTGATCCTATGCCCCAAACACTCTGCACAGCCAGCCCCCTTTCTCTGAAAGAGCCTAGCTTCATCCAGCTCACGGGGTCTGCACGTAGCCAGGTCCTGTCACCTGTGGAGGGAAAGCAGGGCAATGGTGGTAACTGCACCAGGGGAAGCAGGAGAGAATGTGGGGGTCTGAGTGAGAGCGGGAAACGGGGCCTGGGAACTCCAGGGATTGGGGCGGGGGGGCGGTTGGGGGGGGGGGCGGGGTTAGAAGGAAATTAACTTCTCACCCAGCAGCGCTGCTTTTTCTTGTTTGTTTTTACAATGAAGGTCAGTTCCCCCCTGTGCCACAGTGACTAAATGTAGGTGAAGAGCCAGGCTGGCCCCGGGTGCAAGCAGCTATTTCAGGGAAAGTGGCCTTTGCCCACCTGTCCCCAGCCAGAACGTGACAGCATGTGTCAATGCCAGCAGGGCACAGTGGGGAGTCAGGATAACTTCCCCAAGACCTGTTTAGGCCTGGGGACCCTGCTCCTTTCTTCAACTCTGCCCCCACCCCATTTTCCCGAGTCCTCGTTCCTTGACTGCTGCGGAAGCGAGTCCAAAGCTAGGAGCTCCCTGCCTGGATGGCCCACGCTGGAGCTCAGGGCCCAGCAGAGCCTTGCAGCCCAGAGCAGAGAGGGCAGTGGGACCACCAGAACTGCAGTTGAGCTGGACCAGAAGTGGGGCTTCACAAAGGGCTGTTCCCCGGGGGACTCCTGTGGGAGGAAAGCCTGCCAGGAGGGAGCACATGCTCCACCTTGTGTGTGCTCAGCTCCCCAGGTGACCCCAGAAACACTTTTTGTGGCGGCATGTGCATTCTCACCTTGCCCCATTGCTCAGCCGCTCCCAGCTCCTGCCCGCTCCATCCTGCTCTCTGGGATGATGCTGCTGCCCGTTTCTAGTGTGAGCCTCAAAGGTGATGGGAGCTGTGCCACACATCCAGCCTGTCCTCAGAGCCTCTTATCAGGATTACCCCCGCTGTGGACACTCTGCCTTCCTCGGCATTAGCCTGTCCTCCCAGTGCCCCTGCATGTCATCACGCACCGCAGATGTCCAGCGCACCACAGGAATACCTTTACAGCATGACCCATGCCACAGCTCTGGGAAACGCCCTCCCCACTGACTGCATGGGACCCCCAGAACAGAGGGACAACTTGGGGGTTACAGCATGAGAGAGATTTTGGGAGACACCTCAGATCCCAGCCATGATCTGAAAAGACTGCTCCCTGTCTCAGTTTCCCTCCCCACTATCCTAACCTGAGATCAGTTCCTTTCCCTGCCAGCCACACCAAAAAAATTAGGGGTAGGGAGGGGTGTCTCTGCCACCCAAGGAGCCTCCAGTACACGGGGGAGAGTGGCAATACCTGCACAGTTCCCTCCTTCCTCTGGCATGAGAGGAGAACAAATAGCTGTGTCCCAAAGTACCCCCAGACTGCTGCAGTGGATCAAGTCCTATAGCATCAGCATCAAGGCAGGGCCAAGGTGGTCGGTGCAGGTGAGAGGGGTTGCCTGCATGCCCGTTTTGTAATAGGCATAAGCAGCTCAGCAGATTTACTCCTGAGCTGAGCGTGACCCTGGCTAAGCTGCCAGCAAAGGCCCGCCCAGGCAATGGGCACTGCTCGGGGCCAGCCCTGCCGCCCACACCACCACGGCTCAGCCGGGCCTCCCTCCCAGGGTCTGGGGACTTGCCCAAAGACCATCCACCTCCTTCCAAGGGGCCATCTGCATGGCCAGACAGGCCCATGTCTGTTTTGCCACCAGCTTTGAGCCCCCTGGGTGGAAACAACGCTTGGGCAGCTCCCCCGAAGCGGCTCTCATCCGCCAGACCCCAACCCTGCCATGTCCCCCACCCCATGGTTAATCTTGGCCTCCTGTTTAGGAAAGTTAAAGCAGCTCAGAGCAAGGCCAGATGATCTCCCGGATTAAAGTCTTAACGGTACCACCATAGCCAGCTCAGCATCTCGGCTCTAGGCTGGTGGGTCAGCGTGTCAGTGTGTCAGTGAGTCAGCATATCACGCACACGCGTGTGGACAACCTCCCACACACACACATGGAAACACACATTCACTGCAACAGGGAAGAGAAAACATGGTATCTGGCATCTTTGTAGGATCCCTCTGGCTGCCCCGCTCCAGTTGCACTGGCTAGAGCAAGAGTGACGATAGAGGGATGGAGCAGGGAGACTATAAAGACACTGCATACATCCCCATGCACTTACCTGAAATCCATCCCTGCAACTCTCAGCATGTGTATGGCAGCACATGCTCCTGGGGGCATAGACACCAACAAGATGCCCTGTTCTGTCAGCAACGCGTGTGCTGGGGCTGTGGGAGTGCCCAGAGGCATCCTGCATTTGCAAGTTGGCTTTTTCCCACAGGTGGAGAGATTTTGGGGAGCGTGGGTGATGGCCATGCTGCCCCTGCAGACTGGGGGGATGCCTGCTGCAGATGGCTGATGAAAGCTGCCCTTTGCCAGCTTGCAGGGTACAGCACAGAGCCAGGCTGGGAAAGCAAATGGGTTTGTGCTCAGATAAAACAGCCCCAAACCAAGCTTTGAGTGGGCGCTTGCGTAACAAGGACCTGGGCCAGCCACGTGGAATCTCGGAGGGATGAGCGGGGGGCATTGCCCCCAACTCCAGAAGCATCCCACCCCAAATTATGCAGGAGACTCCCCAACACCCACCAGCTTGGCCATTGCCAGACTCTATGACTGGATGCTATGGGGTTCACACTGGTGTCATTGGGTGGTGTTTAGGGGGGCATATGAGAGGGGACTGGGGAGGTCAGTGAGACATGATTAGGGTACAATCTCTGTTGTTTGCAGTGGGGAGCACAGGATTTGGGAGCGGGCTGTGGCTTGTGATTTGAGGTCACCACCCTGGGGACAGGGTCTCCAGAGCTGTGGTATTTTGAGTTCTATTCAGGACTGATCCAGATGGAGAACAACATCTTCAGGTTGGGCTATGCCCCCTAGCAGTACCCACCCTGCTGAGAAACAGCTTCTTTGGTGCTCACACTACAGGCCACCACTCTCTAGCCCCCGGTAAGATGGTACCTGGTTCCCAGACCCTGCCCTAGCACCGGGTCCCCCATCCACAGGGAAGAGCCCCTTGCATAGTCCTACTCACACAGGGTCTTGGTGTGCAACACCCCACAGCACCCATGGAACCCCAGAAGCACCACACCTCCCAGCACAGCAGTGCTGCCCACAGCCACTCGTGGTTCACAGCTCCTGTGTCACTCCAGCCTGAGAGCCCAGCACCTTCCCAGCCAGAGCCTGAGGGGCCTGGGCCAGGAACAAGACCTTCTGGCCGAACAGGACCATTTCCCCCACCCCATTCATACAGGTGTTGCCAGGAAAAAGCAGTCAGAGCCTGGATGTTGCATTTCCACCCATTTATTGGGGAAACCACACCAAAGTATTAAAATAAATTAAACGGCACAGGCCGTGTGGTGCATTGCATACATAAGTATCAGGAAGGCAAAGGCAGAGTGGGATCTTCAGTAGAGAAGTAGGTAGACAGGATGGAGCACCAGGGTGTCCTAGCAGCTGCAGAAACTGCTACCGTAAAAGTAGAAGTAGCTGCAAAACTAGAGGTACCAAAAAAAAAAAAAAAAAAAATCTGTACCTTTAGTATGGTCTTAAAGGCAAAGTCTGAGTCCAACCTCCTTGTAAGGAGGCACTGAGCTGGAAGAGACCCGACTGGTGGGGTGGACAGCAGGGACAAAAAGCACAAAAATCAAGAGAAATAAAAGGGGAGATACACAGGACCTGGCCAGGAAGCATGGCCATCCTTAACAGCTCCATGCTCTCCTGGGAGCAGAGGACTCTGTCTAGCCATCACGGTTTTGGGTTCTTGACAAAGTCATACCGTTTGTCCTCATCTTCCAGGCCTGTTATTTGTGCTTCATTCCACCTGTCCCCAACAATGGGCCCAAATTTGATGCAGGAAGATTTGCTGCACTAGGGAAGAAAAGCAGGACTGCTTCTTGTCCTCCAGTTTCCCACCTGGAGGAAGCAGACCCACGTCCCACTCTGCTCTCAAGGAGACTGAATCCCAAACAGCCACCAGACATTCTAAATGTGAGCAAAGCAGGGCTCCCTCACCCCACACACAGAGGGGAACACAACCACCAGAAATGTGGTATCAGCTTGGGACCAGAGGGATGCTGCCAGTCAGGGATGCCCAGAGTCACCAACGACCCACAGCTCAGACTCAGGCAGTCTGATGTGGCCTTGGCTCTGTCCAACATGCCTCCAGAGACCCCTGCCCCAGGTGCTCTCTGGAGACAACCCCTGTTCCCTCTGATGAGACCCTCTCCCTCCCTCTCAACCTTTCCAAAGGGGTCCATTGCACCACAGTCTGATTCCAGCTCAAGGTAGCTCTCCAGCTCTCCCCCTCCCACCCCCCCAAGAGAGACAGTCCTGGAGAAAGTGGGTACCCAGCGCGGCTCCCCCAACCCTAGCTACAGCCACAGGCATCAACAATCATGTCAGGGATGTCAGTCTTGACAATGTTGCTATTGCGATCAAAGTAGAGGACAGAGAGTGGCCGGCGTCGCGTGGGCACACAGCAAGAGTGCCCCGATGCCTGGATGTTGTTAGCTTTGACAAGGTTGAAGACAGCTGTGTGGAAAGAAGAGGCCATCCCAGGGCTGCCTGCCACATGTAGAGGGCACTGGCCCACACAGTAGTTTATCTGGTAGCCCTCAGGCTTAATGATCCAGTCATTCCAACCGATGTCACGGAAATCCACATAGTAGTCCTTGCGGCAGCAAAGGTTGGAGTTCTGGCTGCACCGGAGGCTGCGCTTGGCCATGTGGTGTCCTGACTCCCGCACCTTCGCCTTGGCCACCAAGAAGGGCTGGTGGGACCAGCTGGCATTGACTATTGCCACAATACCACCCCCATCCCCATGGCTTTCCAGTTCCAGCCGCAGGGTCCTGCGCTCTCCCCCAAAGAAACTCTGGAGGGCAGGCATGAGGGTGAAGGCGCGCCAGCCACTGCCCTTGGCACTCAGTCGCCTCTCACTCAGCAACGTGCGATTGCCCCTCACCAAATCATCTTCCCCAGCAGCAAGGAAGATTCTCAGGGTGAGGCTGGCTACCAGGTCTCGGGGAACTCGAAGGTAGAGCCAAAGCTGAGCCTGCAGGATGTGAACGTCCTGGTCTTGTGTACGGCTGAACTGGAACTGCAGCCCCAAGCCAGAGGGAAACGTGGGATCTGAGGGGAGAAAGGGATGAGGAGATGAATGCTGTAGGATGCTAGGGAAGGTAAGACTGCACATCAAGGCAAATCTCTTTCAGTTTCTTCCCAGGAATGATCTACAAATTTCCCTTCCTTCCCAGAGTCCTCAATACATTCCACTCCCTTCCTCAGGAAGGCTACCTGGAGGGGAACAGTGTTAGAATGGGGGGCTGTCCCACACTGCCTGGCAGAATGGGCACAGAAGGGAGCAGGGGGGCACCTGCTCTCACCTGGCCCTTCCCCTTTGCTGCAGGGTGCAAGGCTGAAGAGTTTACAGCCTCCCCCCCCTCTGCCCCCAGGCTAGTCCTTGCAGCTCCCAAGCCGGAGTCCCGGCCACCCTGGTTTGGCCCCATCCTTCAGGAAGGGAAAAGGCATTACAGCACTTCAGGTGTGGGGTCCCAAGTGACCAACGCAGAGGAGCAAAAGAGGGGCCATCTCTCCTTCTCCCAGGCTGAGCCTCCCAGCATCAGCAGCGCAGGGAGGTCACTAGTACACAGCAGGTGCATTAACTAATGATTTAATCATAGGCTGCGCGGGGCTTCAGGCACCCTCACCCCGCTGTGAGGAGGTAGGCGGCCAGGACCCTGGGTTTTGGGGACTGCACATCCTTGCAGGTCCCCACCAGCCCAGGGCAGGGAGACGCTGCCCCCGGGGCCGGACCGACAGGGGCTCGCCCAGGGTCTCCCGCGCTCTGGCACCGAGTGCGAGCCGGCTCGCTCAAGCCCCGTCGGGAGCCCACGGGGGCCGCCCGGCTGCCGGCGGGCCCCGCGCACCCACCTGGCTCCGCGAAGCTGATGATCTCGTAGCCCTGCTCGTCGTCGCCGGGGCCCCGGCGAGCGCCACCCGCCTGCAGCCGCCGCAGGGCGCGGGCCACGGCGGCGCGGGGCACGGCGTGGGCGAGCCTCGGCCGCTCACGGAGCCGCAGCTTCTCCAGCAGCTGCCGTTTGGCCGCCTCTTCCAGCAGCCGCCGCTCCGCGCCCGCCGCGCACGACGGGCAGCGCGGCTGCTCCGCCGCCGCGCACAGCACCGCCGCCAGCAGCAGCCACGGGCCCGCCATCGGCACCGACGGGACGGACCGAGCCGGCACCGGCAGTGGCGCGGCGCTGCCCGCCCGCTTTGGGCACCTGCGGCCGGGGGCGGGCCCGGCGCCCCCCCGCCATTGGCCGGCTCACCTGCCTGTCCCGTCCCGTCGGGCCGCGGCCGGGGCGGGGGATTACCGCGATTAGCCCCCCCCCCCCCCCGCGGCGGGGGCGGGTGGCGCCCCGTTGCCCCGGGGGAAGGGGCTCCGCGACCCCGCGGGAGGAGTTCCTCGGCCGAGCACCTGCCTTGCCCACGCTGCACCCGCAGACGGCACCGCGGGGGCTGGACACGAGCGGGGGGGGTCACACGGGAGGCCGTGCACGGGGAGCTTCACGTGGGTGTGCACAAGGAGTGGTACGTGCCGAGGTGCGCGCCCACGAGGCTTGCACACCCGTGTGCGCGCAGGCTCTTCCCGCCTGCCGCCCACCCTCGCGTCTGCCCCCCCGGGTGCGGAGGGACCCGGCCAGGCACCCCCGCAAGGGCCACGGAGCTCCTCTGCCTGGTCCAGAACCTGTGGGAAGTGAGGGCTGGGACAGATCCTGGCCGGGTGCAGGAGCATTGGTCCTGGAGCAGCCTGCTGAATGGGTCCTGGCCTCATCTGCCTCCCCGGGGAGCCTACAGACCTGCCCCCACAGCCTGTGCGTTGCCCCCCGGGCACCCCGTAGCCATCCTAGCAGAGCCAGTCTCTTATTTCTGACAGAGGAGCCAGCAGGGATCATGGACAGTTTCCAGGATGACATTTGCAGCTCTCTGGCGACTGTTCACATCTCTGGGCTTTTGTCACTCCTACTGTGTGATGAGTTTGGGGGTCTGAGCCTACCCTTGGGACTGCCTGGTCCAGCCTCACCCCAGGACAGAGCTGGACAGGGCCAGCGAAGGTGTATAGTATTGCACCCTCCTCCTCACTAATTAAAATGGATGTTTGTATGTACTGAGGGCTCACGAGGTATCAGCCAGTGTCACATCAATCCGAAGATGCTCTTCGCATTCTTAGCCCCAGAAGCTGTGCTTAGAGCAGGATGCACAGCCTAGGCCAGGGCAGAGCCCTGTAGAAATCTCCCGAAAGTGGTGCAAGGTGCCGTGTTGTTGCGTGCACAGGAGAGCCCAGCGGTCTTGTGCCAGAGCAGGGAACCCACAGAGTGCAGTGGGAACCTGAAGCCCAGCCAGCCCTTCAGGCATGTCCTGTGCCCACCGTGCCATGCAGCACTGACTCCAAGGTCTTGACCACACAGAGGCCCTGCCTCTGGCCAAGCACAGAGGTGACGTGTAAACAGAGTGGGCTGTCTGGGAAAAAGCACCCACCGGAGATGATGCAACCATAGTGCAAGGGGCAAAGTTCTCAGCTGGCTGGGCCTGCTGGCAGCTCCCAGAATAGCCTAGGAATGTCAACAGAGAGGAAAGAGTGGTCACAGCCTGGACTGGGAGCACAGCTCCCACAGGACCTGCAAGCCCCGGCTGCAGGCAGCACAGAGGTGGCACTGCCTGGGCACCGGCAGGACTGGGCAGATGGCACTTTCATCCAGACACAGGGGCACTGTGCACGCTCAGGCATGCTTACAGCACACAGGCGCTCACTTGCACAGATGCTCATTGGTACATACACATCTGCATACTCCCTTGCAAACACATGTTCAGTCCCCCATCCCGCATATTTGGATACATGCTCCGTTTGTGAACATGCTCACACGTGTACTGCATGCCCATTCCCCTGCCTTTTATTCCATGTTCCCATACTGGAAGTGGAACGTTTCATTTCTGGCTCTCAAGGCAGGTTAAATTCCGCACAGGGCAGAGCTGCTGCTGCCTTCAACCCAACAAGGGAACCAGGTCCCTCCACCCGATACTCTCTCCACATGCAGCAAGCTGGAGGGAGTCCCAAGCTGCATCACTGAGTGGCACTGGCCCAGATGCCAGGCCAGGCAGGCCGTTAAAGCCTCTGTGTCACCACCACCTCCTGGCAGCCACATCGTAGCTTTACACATGCAGGAAAGGGAAACTGAGGCACGATACCCTGCTGAATTCCTCCTTCCCTGACAGATCCACAGAGCCAGGATCAGGGCTGTGGCACAGAATGAAACAGGGGGCAAAGAGTTGTGGTAAAAAGGGTGAATTACTTTCTAACCCACAATCCTTTCCAGGCTGGGGACTAGGGTCTCTCCAAAGGGATTAATCCCTTCAAACCTGCCAGCATCCCTCTGCACAAGGCAGCACCCCATGGTTGCTGTCATGAACCCACATTTCACCTCCAGCGTAGTGAGAGCATCTGACCTGCCTGCCCCCTCACACCGCTGCTGCATGCCCCCCCCCCCCGCGCACTCTGGCCCACCAGATCTAGGCCAGGGGTCAGCACAGAGCCGTGAGTGGTTCTTGCACCCATTGCATAAGTGTGTTGTTGATTAAGCAGTTCCCAGAAAGCAAAGCCCAGAGACCAGCCTGACCAAAATACCACCCCCAGGTCCCCCCCCAGGCCCAGCACTTGCTGCACACATGGCTTCTGGGCCTCCGACCTTGTGTCCGGTGGGGCAAGCATGGCACCTGACGACCTGACCTAGAGGTGCCAACGGACTGGGTTAAGCAAGGACCCCCCCCCCTCCAAGAGCTCATGCACCAGCACCTGAGCAAGAACGCCGATTTCTGCGTGGCTCTGCCACCACTGTCAGACAAGGCAATGTCAAACCCCGCTGAGACCCTCGCCTGGGGGGGGCCATGGCATAGGCCAGGCTCCGGCACTGAACTGCTTCCTCCCCACAGGCCCCTCTTCCCTGGGGCAAGTGCCGGGGGCCACAGGATGGAGGAGTTCCTGGGCAGGGGGCTCGGGGAACAGCCGGCAAGGCAAGTGGTGCTGGAGCAAGCGCTGAAGGCAGGAGCGGGGCCGGAGGGCCTGCCCGTGCCCCTGGGCCGGGGGCCCGGCACGCAGCGGGAAGCCGGGGCACAGGCCGGCGGAGGGCTGGGGCACTGGGCTGGCGGGGCTGGGCAGGCCGGGGTCCGGCCGTGGGAAGGGCCCGAGGCCAGGGCTCACGGCCAGGGCGGGAAGGTCGGCGGCCGCGCTTCCCCCGGCGCCCCGCGCTCCTCGCCCGGCTGCCGCGGGCCCGGCTGCCGCCCCGGCAAGCGACGGGAGGGGGCGGCCTGGCCCAGCCCGCCGCCGCTGCCCCGGCCCCGCGGCCCCCCGGCCCGGCCCTTCCCCGCCCGGCCGCGGCTCTGGCGGCCCGCGGGCTCCTCCCGGCGGCGCGGAGCGAAGCCGCTCTCGGGCCCGCGGGCTCCGGCCGGGCCGCAGCGGGCGGGCGGGCGGGCGGGGACGGGGCGCCCGTGGGCGATCAGCGCCGGCGGGCGCACGGGCGCTCAGCGGGGGCCGGCACCGGGGGGGGACCGGTACCTCGCACCAGCTGCACCGAAGACGCCCAGCGCGGGTCACTGGGTGCCCCCGAGCCGGGTGCTGCTGGCTGGAAACTGCCTGTGAGACTGAAAATTAAAAATTAACCCTCCTCAAGGCAACACCAGGGGCTTTCAGGAATTCCCACCCCTCCCCTGAGAGCCAGGCCCTGCCAAGGCACACCGTCCTCTGGCACACCGCGCTTGGACCTTTGCTTCAGGGTCTGTTGATACTGGCAAAGGCTCCTTCCAGGAGCAGCAGCTGCACATCCCTGTCCCCTCGCGGAGCAGAGGCCGAGGGGACAGCACCTCGTGAAGCTTGTGTTCCCCTCTCTGTCAGATCTGGCACAGCCCAAGGGCACAGCTCGAGTGCTGGGTCGATGCTGTCTGCATGGCATCTCCAGCGCTGGGCCAGGCTTGGAGGGCCGCAGGACGGGCCAGTGCAGAAGTATCTCATGGCAGCTGGGTGTGCTTGCCGAGACACCCCCTCCAAACCCCCTGAGTGAACAGGGGACCCCAGCAGAAGTGCGGTGTCACAACAAGGGGAGAGGGGCCACTGTGATGTGAACACAGCCCTCATCCCCTCTCTGTTCCCACTGGTGAAGGAGGAGTGGATGCCCAGCGAGAAGTTGCATCCTGCTGCCCTCAGGTTTTTTGTTCTGCTCCCTGAAGACCCTGACTTGATACTGTGTCTTCATGCTTATACCAAAGTTACTTTCACTGACAATGGAGAAGACTTGCAAAATAAGACGGGGCTGTGGTGAAGCCCAGATAGTCACTTTTCCATGTGCAGCTTGTCAGGGCTATAAATACACAGCTCCTGCCTGGGCTACCAGCTATGGGGGCTGAGCAGCTCCTTGTGTGTGCTGGGGGCCCCTGTGTGCCATGTGCCTCAGCCCTGTGCCAGCCCCACAGCAGGCAGGGAAGTAGCTGTGCCTGGCCCTGGGGGATCACCCTTCCTTGACTGCACCTTCCTCACCCTTGCAGTCTTCCCCATGTGAGAGTGCCACCATGAGATACCTGAACCTTGGTCACCCTTGCCTCATGCTGTGAGTGGGAAAGGGGCTGTAGGCTGCACCCAGGCATCCTGTTTCCCATGGGAGTGGGACAAGCCATGTGCATGGAGAGGAGGTCCTGTGTTGCAGGACCCTGGACCCTGCTCATCTGGGAAACCTCTGACCTGAAGGCACCAGAGAAGGCACGTTTTCAGGTGGTTGGCAAACCCCCAGGACAATGTGTTCTGCCCTAATCTCAAGTTGCCAGTGACAGGGAGGGTCCTCAGAAACTGCGACCCTTCTTGGGGGAGCTGCTGCCAACCCAGGCAACCCGAATCAGCAGGACCTTCATGTCCATTGGGTTGCAGGGAGGTCTGGACCAGGAGATGCCCCCCATCCCTGTGCCTGAGGGCTGGGGACAGTGTCCCTGCAGGGTTGGAAGGCAGAGCCGGCTTTGTGTCCTGTGGTGTCCAGAGAGCACATGTGCAACCCAGCAAAGGGCAGAGCTGGGGTTTGGGGAGCAGGTAGAGAGGGGGTGCTGTTTCAGGCAAGGCACCTGTGCCCCACAGGGTTTGTGCAGCAGCAAGAAGCAGCCAGCCCCACTCCGCTCTGAGCCTGGTGGAGAGTGGGGGGAAGTTCCCAGCAAGAGTGCTGCAGGGCCAGGAAGGGGAACTGGGGACATCCCAGCCCTGTGGGTGGGATTGGGGCACCTACAGATGCCTCAGCTCAGGGTCTTGGGCTTGTGCTGCCCTGAATTGAGGCATCTGTAGGGCCACAGGGCCCAGCCAACAGCTCCTCTATCCCTTCACTCGGCCGCTTTCCGCCCATGCCTGCTGCAGCCTAGAGAGTTCAGCACTGGCCCCAGGAAAGCTGTTTGTTCAATAAATACAGACAGTGAAAAGAGGCATTGGAAAAAGAAGGGAAAAAAAAAAAAGCAGAAAAAAACAAACACAAAACCCTCTTTGGGTTTGCGCAAGTGGCCTTGGGTCCCAGACAGTATTGATCCCCAAGTCTTCCACCCTGCCTGTGCAGCAGCTGGGTCAGCGGGTACCCTTCAGGTCTGAGTCCTGGAGGCACCAGGGCCTGGAAGCCTGGATCTCTGCACGGTGGCTGCTGCGACCTGATGGGGAGATGTGGGTCCCCACTGCAGCAGGGGTCAGTGGGAGCGCCTGCCTCAGGACGCACGCAACATGTGCAGACACTGTCTCCTGCTAGTACTTGTTCCATCCCTGCTCAAGGTGTCACAGGTTTGCTGGGGCAATGCACATCCTGACCGCCGCTCCAGCCAGAGCTGCTTGTGGCTCTGACCACCCTAGACTGATCCGAGAGTGGGACAGCAGATGCAAAGCCATCCTTCAAGCCAGATGGGGAAAGGGTCTGACACCACCCTCCTCCCTCTGCCGACCCTCTTCCCACCCAGCTCATCTCCATCTCCAGCCTCTAGGATGGGGTCATCAGTGCTTGCAGGGTGGACCACAGGACTACAGTCACCCAGCTTCACCCCAGCCAGCTGCATGTAGCTTGGGGGATCATCCCAGGAGCTCCCCTCCTCAACCTCCCACCCCCAGCACCCTCTCCCTGCTTTCTCAGCCCTCACACATGAGGGACACGTGGGAAGCAGTGGAGAAACCCTAACACAAGATTACATAATGGTGCTGATGTGTCAGAGCTGCCCTTTGCTCCCAGCTCTCACGGCACTGACATGTCCCACTTTGCTGCCAGCCAGGCTGGCGAGGGGCAGCAAAGGGGGCAGCTGCTCCAGGCTGCGGGCCAGAGGCATGCCGAGAGGTCGCTTCCCAGTGAGGGAGCTGGCATGGGGTTGTAGGCAAGGCTGCACGTCCTGGGCACTGTAGCTTTGGCAGTCTTGCCTGGCAGTTTCTGTCCACTTTAAAAGGGAGAAGAGTTGCTCCGTTTTGTCCTGACTTGGGACAAGAATGGCCAAATATAGATGGTTTTGGTGGAATGGAAAATTTGGCCCAACTAAGGAATGGTGCCTTCCCTGGTGGGAATCACAAGCCCCCTGTTTACAGGGGCTTCCACATCATGCCCTGGATCTGGTTGAGATAAGTCAGGGGTTCTGCATCCCTTTGGGAAAGGCAATCAAGGGGCCGAGGGCATGAGAGCTGTGGGGACCAGCAGCATTGCAGTCTTTGGGCACAGTGTGTCCTGGTGGTGGATGCCCAACCCCGCTACCTGGGTTTTATAACCGAGTCGTTGATTAGGAGAGGGCTGCACATGGCAGAGTGGGTCATTCTGTGCCATCTTGGGGCTGTCTGTGCTAGGGCACAGCCACCACATTGCACCTAGGGAGAGGTGAAAGATGTGCGGGCTAATGACAGGGTACGCGTGTACACATACATGTGCACACACTACGACTGGGAGTCTTTTATTGAATACCAGGTAGCTTGGGATGCTTGGAGAGGGAGAGACACTTCTCCCACAGGGATCAATTTCCCCTTCCTCCCCCCCCTCAACCTCATGTCCCACTGAGGTGTGGGGCCCCATGGATAGCCTTCTGCCCTCTGGCTTAGCCATTCCCCAGCAATTTTTCAGCTTCTACCTCCCCCAGCAGCCAGAGGTGGCTGCTGCTGGGACCCGTTACCTGAAGAGCACATGTTCATGTTGCAGCACTGAGGACTGCACCATGGCCGTGGTCTGGGACCAGCAGCAGGGTGAGCTGAGGCTGCCCTGAGCTGCCTGGGGAGTTACGCTCTGCAGAATCCTGCAGGTAGAAGGGTTGGTGTTCATCAGGAACCGGTCTCAGAGGCAGAGGCTCGTGGGCAGTGAGGAATCCATGGGCAGATCTGAAGGGGGAAAAGAGCTATGTAGGAGGTGAGGGAGGAGAGGACTTGCAGATTCAGCATTACCCTTGATGCTTCAACCTCAGGAGGAGAAAACACCTTGTGAGGCTTCCCATCTCTCAGCAGCTCGCCAGGTCTTGCAGTGCCAGAGAGGGGCCAGGAGGAGGGGAGCCCTGCACAGCACGGGTCCTGCTCTCCTGCCTCCTCAGGCAGCCAGTCAGGTACAACCGCAGGCATCGACAATCATGTCAGGGATGTCAGTCTTGACAATATTGCTGTCCCGGTCATAGTAGAGCAGGGAGAGGGGCCGACGCTGCGTGGGCACGCAGCAGGAATCCATGGCTGCATCTGCATTGTTGGCTTTGATGAGGTTGAGGACAGCCGTGTGGAAGGAGGCGGCGAGGCCTGGGATGCCAGCCATGTGCATGGGGCAGAGCCCTGCACAGTAGTTCATGTGATATCCCTCTGGCTGGATGATCCAGTCCTCCCAGCCAATCTCCTTGAAGTCCACAAAGAATTCCTGGCGGCAGCACATCCGAGAGTCTCCACTGCAATCAATGCCACGCCGCTGGACCCGGTGGGGCATCCTGGCCCGGGCCTGGGCAGCCACAAATGGCCAGTGGGAATCACTGTGGCCAGCCAGGAGGGGAGACCCCCAGTCCTCTGCCACCTCCAGCTCCACAGTGAGCCTCTGACTCCCTTGGCTAAAGAGGCTCTGGACAGCTCGGCCAACATCCAGCGTGGCCCAGCCGGTTCTCTGCACCTCCAGACGTGTCTCGCTGGCCACAGTCATGTTCAACCCCATCGGGTCCGGCTGCAAGAGTCTGATGGTGACAGGATATGTCCCGGGGCCAGGGACTGCCCAGAACAAGTAGAGAGTGGCTTGCAGGATCTCTGTGGTCCCAGCCAGCTCCTGGGTGAAGTGGAAATGGAGGCGAATGCTGCGGGAGGTGGAGGATCCTGTGCACAGAACCGAAAGCAGAGTCAGGAGGGGAGGGTGGCGAGGGCATCCCCCAGCTGAGGACCACCGAGTCAGAGCAAATGGGAGGTATATCCAAGCCAGGGAGCAGGATGCAGTACATACAAGTGTCAAGGGGTTTCTACTTCCCTGCACTGCTGCTGCTCCTCCTTTTTACGCCACTCTAAAGCAGCAGCATCTGGGCCTGGTGCTGAATGCAGCAACCCGGCTTGGTTCCACCTCCTCTGGCCTAATATCTGCCTTGTCAGTGAAGGTGCTGGAGGATTTTGGAGTAGGTTATCCAGCTGTGCAAACCAGCCTTGGATTTAAGGCAGTCATGCTGATTTGCTCTTCCAGGACTACCTGTGCTTTCCATGGCTGGAATCACCACCTGACATTGTTCCAGCATGTCCCACCCTTGCTGCTGCTGAGGCTGCAGAGCTGCCTCTCCTCCTCGCAAAGGAAGGGCTGACGGGGACCGCGAGAGCAACGCTGGGCTCCCTGGCACAGCTCTGCCCGTGAGGACACAACCCTCATCCTCTCTGGTCTGGCACAGCACAGCAGGATGAGAGACTGGGCTCAGCCCTGTGGTTCGTGCTGGCTCTTCTGCTTCCAGCAGACACTTCACCAAACCAGGAGACAACTCCCCATTGTCCTCATGCATGGGATCACAATGTACTGCGGAGGGGCATTGTTCCCAGAGGTCTTCGAGGACACAGCAAGCCCTTGCTATCCCACAGCAGCCATGCAAAGCACACAAAGGTCTGCAAGGGGAGTGTGTGCCCCCCACACCTCACAAAGCAGCAGTTTGAGCTGGGCAAAGTGACAGTGCAGAAGGAAGCTCTGCAGGATGGAGCAGCAATTCTGCTTCTTTCCAAAGAAGACTGCACTTGCCTGGTAGAAGTGAAGAGTACAGGACCCTGTTTTTCCAGTTATACTTGTCAGGACCCCTAAGCACAATTTGGAGAGCTCTCTCCTCCCAGGAACACAGCTGATTCTGGAGTAAAATGTGTCAGCCCATCACTTTGAGTAGGAAGTGGAGACACAATTGAGTGCAGGGAGTAGACGGGCTTTGGAGACCTAAGTCCACACATTGCAAGCTGATGGGGAACCTAGGCTTAAAATCATGTTTTGAAAAACATGACCATCTGACCCCTCCAATTCTAGCACAAGTGGGGAGGGTTGAACAGAAATGGACAACAAATTCAAATGATACAGCAGTCGATCTTTGCTCCTGTGCCCACCCCCTTGCCCCAAAATGTACCATAGGTTAATGAGAGAGGCCCCAGAGCCTCAGTATTGCTTCCCCTGCCCATGACAAGAGACAGCTGGTTGGGGTAAGCTCGAAACGTGAATGCAATGGTTCTGGATATGGAGCCTCTCACTGCCATTCCTTCTAACAGCAGTGTGCCTGCTGGCCTGGTAGATAGCCTGGCACTGCTTGCAGGAGCGTGATGCCCTTGCGCAGAGCTTTTGAAATGCCTGTGCAGAAGAGGAAACCTCTCACCACCTTCCCACAGGCAAGACTTTCCCTCCCTCTGTACCCCCCACCTCAGGGCCCATCTGACCATGCCCATGGGATGGGGGGTCTGTACAGACCTGACTCAGCAAAGCTCAAGACCTCGTATTCCTGCAGACCCATCCCAGAACGCAGGTGTGGGATGCTGCCATCATGGGGCACCCCTGGGGAGACGGCCATGTCCACGCGCTGCGCATACATCCTGCGGAGAGCAGTCAGCAGGGCCCCCCTGGACACAGGCTGAGTGATATTGGGCCTGTCTGGCAAGCGGAGCTTTGAGAGGATGCTCTGCTTTGCCAGCGCGATGAGCACGTCCCGCTGCGTGGTGGGGGCCAGGGCCGCCAGCCCACAGGCCGGGCACCACACTCCCTTGGGAGCCGCCATCCTCAGAAGGCTCAGGAGCAGGAAAGCCATCGTGGCTGTCATCTCCGTTGCCAGGAGGTGACAGCTTGGGGGTCTCAGCAAATAGTGTTCCTCCAGCTGTCCGATAAGCCCGAGTCAAACTGGGACAGCAGCACTGAGGCCAGGAGAGCAGAGCGCGGCAGCAGGACAGTGCTGGACTTCACAGGAGCGGGGAGTGAGGAAGGGCTCGTTCTCCTGACGTGGCCACAAATATTGGCTGATCTCGGGCGAGATAAACGCCCCTGTGATCCCGCAGGAGCCTGTCCCGGGCATGGGGCACCCGCGGCACGGCTCGCCCCGGGTTAAGGTGGAGCCGGGCGGATGGCGCTCCCGCTCGAGGCTCTCACGGCTCGGCCCCGGGGGCTGCGGCTCGGGCCCGAGCTACCCGCTGTGGCCAAGGGTGCCCCCCCCCAGTCCCACCCGGCTGCCCACGCCAGGGGGGGGCGCCCGGGAAGGTGGCAGGGGTCCCCGCGGACGGGGCGGTTCCAGGGGCGACGGTGGCTGTCCGTGGTGCGGTGTGGGGCCCCCACGGTGCGGGCGGGACCCCCGGAGACGGGGAATCCCCGGGGGCGGGACCCCCCCCCCCCCGGGCAGAGCCCGTGTCCCGCGCTCGGCGCGCCGGGGGAGGGGCCACGAGGGGATGGAGTCTGGCGCAGCGGCGGCTCCGCCCCCGAACGGCGGGAGCCTCTCTGCTCCCCGCGGCGCCCTCCGCTGCGCCAGGGGGCGCTGCCGCGTTCCTTCCGCCTTCCAGGGCGCCGCGTCTGGCAGGTTGCTACGACAACGGGCGCGAGGCAGGCGCGGCATGGTGACGTACGCCGCACAGGGTAGTGACGCAGAATCACGCCCGCCGGGGGAGGGGCTCGCCGCTCCTTTCCTTTTTTTTTTTTTTTTTTTTTTTTTTTTTTTGCTCCCCCCCCCTCCCCCCCTCCTCCCCCTTCCCCCCTCCCTCTCCCCCCGCACCCCCACTCCTCCGTTTCTTTCCCCTTTTCTCCCCGTTCCGGCTGCCCCTCCTGCCCTCCGCCCCTTCCGCCGCCCCGCCCGGGCGGCCCGCGCTGGCCCAGGCCCGGCCCGGGGTGGTGGTGGCGGCCCCGCGGCGCAGGGCCCGGCCCGGCCCGGCCCGGTAAGTGCACGCCGCCGGGGGCGAGGGCCGGTCGATGGTGGGCCGGGGCCGGCAGGGTGGTCGGCGGTGTCCCCGGGCCGGGCGGGGACGCGCCGCCCGCGGGGAACCCGCCTGCAATCTCCCCCCCGCGTCCCTGTTCCTTCCCCCGTCCCCGCGGGGGCCGTGCTCCTGGCGCTGGCGGGGCTGCGGGATTCGCCGCCGCGGGCCGGGGTGTCGGTAGGGCGCGCCCGGAGGCGGTGTCCGGCCCCCGGGCTGCCCCTCTCGGGGGGGGGGGGGGGGGGGGGGGGGGGGCGGTCGGTGGCGGCGGCCGGCCGGGTCTCCGCCATCTCCGAGCGTTGCTGGCCGTCGGGGCTTGCGGGGCTCGCCGTGGTGTCGGTCGGTGGAGGAGTTTGCAGCGAGCCGCTTGCTTTGGCAAGTTCGCGGAGCACATGGTAGCCGCAGCGCGCATCCCTGGCTGGCCCGGGTACACGGGGCATCCCTGTGCGATCCGAAAGTGCCTGAGCCTGCCGGGGCTGCCTTGTTTCCCAGCTTCTGCCTGCTGTACAGCACTTGTAGGAGGCCAAGGTGGAAGGGGAGCAACAAGTGTGAGAGGAGGCCGCATGTTATTGATGGCTAGGCATCCATTCAAGCGTTTGAAATTGTAGTAAGGTTTTCTGGTATCCTCACAGACCAAGTCTTTGCTTTGAAACTTTCCTGGAAACATTTCTGATTGCCAGGGTCCTGCTTTGTGTAACAACAGGATTAAAATTGACGGAGAAGTTTGTCTTCTGGCTTGGCTGCAGTGCGTTCATGAGGGATTCTGGAGGCCCTGTGTAGGCCACTAATGGGACACATGGAAGGGTTGTTTTGTTACTTAGTGTTCTCTGCCCTGTGACACATTTAAATCTGCACAGGGAATTTTTGGGTGCCTGTAGATGTTTGGACTGTCTGCCTGAGAGTCAAAGTTGTCTCTGACTCCTGCCAGTGCAGCATTCTGGCAGCAAGTTTCACAGGTAAGTTGATATTACTTAAAGTCTTCCTGTGCTCTGTTTGAAATGGTTTGATAGAGGTTGTCCTGAGTGCCTGATACAGTGTGTAAATAGACGTGGCTGGTAGATTGTTACCTCTCTTATGTCACTCATGGTGAGAATATTTTTTAATCCCTTCCCTTATTTCCTTCAGAATTTTATCTAGATTATCTCTTTCATCGATGACAGCTTTTTATGGTTTTCAGTCATTGTTCTTTTTGGCCTCTTTGTTGTGAGATGGGCAAGAAAGCTGAGCCCAGGCCTAGGCTTCTGCACTGATCTCTGGTTTTATAAAGGCCTTCATGATGCTCTGTCTTTCAGACACTGCTTATAGGAGGGTATTTGCCTTTCAAAAGGCCAGCATGGATCTGGGGGAGTGCTGTGCAAAGACTGTGACAGCTTCTTAAATGGTGGACAAAGCTCTATCCATTTCATAACTGGCTCATTGAGGGTGATTTTCAGACCCCGATGGTTTTCTGCTGTCTCTTTTATTAACGATTGTTCCTTAAATGAGCAGCTATTTCTGCTCTCTATTAGGCCTCAGAGAATCTGAACTTGTTGATAAAGTCCTTATTTGACTCTCATCTCTCTAGGGTCTGTACTTGCTTCTGCTACTGCTGTGTCATTTTGACTTACTCCAACTTTTTTGTCTTGCACAGGTTTTGGTGTAAGATCCCTCTCATTTCACCCTGTCCCGGGATATGCCCTTTCTTGCTATGTCTTCACCTGTTTCCCATGCAGCCTCAAGTTGTCTGTTCACTGTAGTGTAAGTGTACTACATATTGGTGAGCCTGGCTGACCTGTACTACAGTTAGCTTATTTATCAAAAGCAACGAAGATGCAGTGGTCAGGATATCAGGGCTGGCTGTATAGGCTTATTCTAGACATTGTCTTGAATTTTAATTTGGACATAAGATTTACATTCTTGTTTTCTGCTCTTCCGCAGTGCTATATACAGTAGCCCCCTGCACTGTGAAGTGTTCCTTGTGAGGCAACTCCCTGCTCCTAATAAAAAACTAATAATAATTTTTTAAAAAGTGGGAAGGAGCATCACCAGAATCCTTGCTCTTCATTCCTGAACACTTTGACTTGTGACCTCCTGGGGAATTTAAAATTCCCCCACATTGGCTTCCAGTTTTGTATCTCAGCGAAAATGCGGCACAGATGATCATCCCACCTCCCTCACATTTTTTGTCTGAGATCTGTCTGCAGTGGTTTCAGATGGTGTAATTGTGCCCCAAAACAAGTGTTAGATTTTTCAGAGAGCAGAACTGATTCTTGTTCCTGGGAGCTGATTTACCAGCTTGCAGGTACTACCAAGCACCCTACTCAGTGCATCTGTCTAAAATGAATGACCTGTTGCCTGTAGGTATCTTCTTAACATAGATACTGATCAGCTCAGAAATGCATTAGCTTTTCTCCTGAGCACTTAAAGCTGAACTCAACTGCTTTAGCTCTGCCTGTTCTTTGTATACTTTTGTGATGCTTCAGTGCTGACAAAAGATGTCTGGAAAAACAAGGTGTATTTTTAGCCATATGTGCTGATAATGGAGCTAGGTGTGCCTTAGTAGTGGCAGTGGTAAGGGAGTGAGCTTCACTGCAAGCAACACTAAGCAAGCTTCCGGCAGAAGTGCCAAGCTTCCAACTTTCCAGGACAGGCTTTATTTTTCCTCAAAGCTCAAGGATGCCACTGTAACTGTGAGTACAAAGAAACCTTGAGTTTATTATAGCTTCTGCTGCTTTTCTGCCCTCTGTTTATGCAAAGTGATCCATTAGAATCTGAACCACTCTGAAGAGGATTCAGGTGTGACATGAGCTGGAAGTTCAGAGCTGCTGTTAATCCTGCACGTGTTGCTCAGTAGGTGCAGACTACTGGTTGTCTTAATTTTTGGAGCAAAATCGAAACTTAAAAAATGTAAGGAACCCAAAGGGTTGGGGAAGAGAAGGGCTGGAAAGAAGACTTGATCGAGAGAGAGAACCTGTTTGGAGAGCTGGAAATATTGCCAAGCTCTGGTGCCTGTTTATCACCAAACAAAGAGTAGGCTGAAGAGTTATGTCCTAACAGTAGGGAAGGTGGTGGGGGCAGGGGAAGAAGCTCTTTGATACGGTGTTGTGGCTGCTTCTTCAAGACCGGTGGAACAGCAGAGCTGTCCTTACCTGACAGTTGTGCTGTAAGGGCTGTCTGGTGTTGCAAAGAATGGATACTGTAGGGGAGAGCATGCTGTATGCCACAGATATCCCAGGTCATTGGTCTGCTTAAGATTTTCCCTCTGTCTCCATAGGGAGCAGTGGGAGTATGTTGTGGGACCTGGTTTGCTTGTCAGCAAGCAGATGAACACATGCTTGTTTACAAATCAAAACAGTGCCCTTGCTAATTCTGAATCTCTGTCTCAGTGCTTCTTTTCCTGTTGGCAGCATGCAGAGAAGTTCTACACGTGGCTGGTCTCAGTTTGGTTTTCTGTCACTGGCACTTGTTGGGAATCTTGTCTCACCTCTTGCTTTGATCAGTTCTCCATTTCTCTTTGAGAATTGGGACCTGGTTCCTCATGGTTACTTCAAATAACTCTGATTCCTTATGCTCCATTATTTTTTATTTCTATCCTGTCTGCTACCTATAATCTATTACGGCTGACTGATGTGACCTCTGTGTCATTCTCCTTGAATATGCACTGGAAATTCTTGATTAAGTCATACTAGGTATGCTTGCCATAATCTTCCTTCCCGATTAAATGGAAATTAAGTAGTTCATTGGTGATTTGCTGGAATCTTTATTTTTCTGTAGGTGTTCTCTTAGGGTCTCACTTCTCCATCCACAGATCTTTGTATTTTCAATGAGGTGTTAAACATATATTGGTAAAGATTTCCTACCTGTTCATTCCTGTTTCTTTGGAATGCAAGTACTGATTATATTTGCATAGAAAACTTTGGAATCTTATTCCTCTGTGTGTGTGTGTGTGTGTGTGTATTTAAAAATAAAAGGGTTTTGGTTTTGTTTTTTTAATGGAACAAACTAGATGATGAGGAAAGACATTAGACTGATTTCCTTCTTCTCTGTCTACCAAGATGGCAAAGTGTGATGTCTGATGGCAGCTTCACTGGATAGTAAACCCTTACTTCAGACGCCAGGGATTGTGCAAGTGAGGATGGATCTCAGCAGGTTGCTTGCAATGATGATGCT